TGGATAAAGATTAAAACCTTAAATTCAATGTAGAAAAGCTGGGAAAATGTAAAAACAAATTTCAGCAAAACAAGAAAAGAATAGGAAAGAAAAGAGGACAAATTAAAATAAGGGTTTTTATACGATTCTCACGGTTATAAGCCTGGAAAACCTCACAAGGGCCCATTAACGGTCAGAGTAGCATTAACAACATACGATACGCAAACAATATTGTGTTGATAGCTGATTCAGAACAAAAACTAAAATGACATTGAGGAAAGCAAAGAAAAATAACTAAACCGTTAACTGTAACATTGACAGAATACATGATTGTTAAAAAAAACCTGATATACCAAAAAATGAAGAGGCCAGTTAAGTATCGACGTGGTTAAACCTGAGAGAACTGGATGACAGATAACATTGAAATCAGAAAGTTTGTGGAAAAAGCAAAGGATGTGTTTTCAGAAAAACACACACACACACACACACACACACACACACATATATATATATATATATATATATATATATATATATATATATATATATATATATCAGCAGTACATATTTGAAAAAAAATATAAGAAGCAATAAAAATCTTGTCGGCATTAAATAATCCATTGAGGTTGATATGCCATAAAACAAATTAACCGAAACCATATTCTATTCATACGAATCTATCGTAAAAATCTTGTCGGCATTAAATAATTTATTGAGGTCGATATGCCGTAAAACAAAATAAACGAATTCATATTCTATTCAAATGAACCTATCATAAAAATCTTGTCGGAATTAATAATCCATTGAGGTTGATATGCCGTAAAATAAACGAAACCATATTCTATTCATACGAATCTATCGTAAAAATCTTGTCGGAATTAAATAATCCATTGAGGTTGATATGCCGTAAAATAAACGAAACCATATTCTATTCATACGAATCTATCGTAAAAATCTTGTCGGAATTAAATACCTCGTTGAGGTGTTGAAATGCCGTAAAACAAACCATGCCAAACCATGTTACTATCCTTTTCGTTTTTTTTTTTTATATTTATTTTCTATCTGTTCATGGTTTATCCCCATTGGAGGTTATGAATTATTCGGACATCTTTCTCATATAAGTCAATATTTTTCCAGCTTTTGATCTAATTACTTATGTCATACTTAATCAAATGCTTATTTGGGGGGTTGGTTCTTTTTTGTAATCTATAAAATTTAATTGTGTGTATTTTTGCATTTGTAGCCCAACAGGCAAAGTGGAGATAACCAAACTCAAAGAGGTGCAACAGTTTAAATTTCATGGAAAGTGTTTAACAGAGGACGAAAAATTGCGACACTCAAATCCGAAGGCGCATTGTGATAGAGAAAGGTGTCTTCCAAAATCTAAGCAAAGTATTAACAAACAGAAAAAAAAATATCGTTAGAAACAAGAAAAAAAATAAGTACTGTACTGTTATGTAATATCAATCCTCTGCTATGGCAGTGAATGCTGGACAATCTCCTCACAGATGAAGAAGAGACCTGAAGCAACAGAAATGTGGCTCTACAGAATGATTCTGAGAATATCATGGACTGAAGATGTGAGCAACTTTGCAATTTTAGAGAAAATCGAAACAAAAAGACACGTATACTTAATACCAGGAAGAGAATTTAAATTTCTAGAACACATAATGAGGAAAGAGGGCTTGGAAAATTTGATACTCACTTGAGTTCGAAAGCAAGAAAGACACATAACCTACCTAGCGAAGTTTACCTCGACGTGATGCAAGGTTAGCAAGCTTGTCTTGCTAGAAAAATTACGACTGAATAGTGGGTTCGGTTCTCATTTGGGTGCTTCTTGTCGTATGCCACAAGTAAGCTACGCTTAGAAAACCAACATATCCTACCTAGCGAAATTGCGTAAATAAATAAAAGAACATTGTTTAGAATCGATAATAAAAAGACAAAATTTATTAAGAGCTACAAAGGACAGGAAATTGTGAAGAGCCATGATCACCAACGTCCTGAAGGGACACGGCGCATAGAAGAAGAATATTGCTCGCAATGATAGTATTCTGATTATAAAGATTACATTTCTTGTTCCAGTGTTTTAAACAAAGCTCTACCCTTCTAGCTCAATTTCAGATTTTAATTTTGCTTAATTATCTGACTCATTAAACTAATTTAACCGGTGGATCTGAAATTCATTTTGTCCTCAAAGCAATCAAATTCGACCAACGTCCTGAAGGGACACGGCGCATAGAAGAAGAATATTGCTCGCAATGATAGTATTCTGATTATATAGATTACATTTCTTGTTCCAGTGTTTTAAACAAAGCTCTACCCTTCTAGCTCAATTTCAGATTTTAATTTTGCTTAATTATCTGACTCATTAAACTAATTTAACCGGTGGATCTGAAATTCATTTTGTCCTCAAAGCAGTCAAATTCGACCAACGTCCTGAAGGGACACGGCGCATAGAAGAAGAATATTGCTCGCAATGATAGTATTCTGATTATAAAGATTACATTTCTTGTTCCAGTGTTTTAAACAAAGCTCTACCCTTCTAGCTCAATTTCAGATTTTAATTTTGCTTAATTATCTGACTCATTAAACTAATTTAACCGGTGGATCTGAAATTCATTTTGTCCTCAAAGCAGCCAAATTCGACAGATTTCGTTCAATATTTGCTCTCTATTAGATCCTTAGTGCATTTGACAAAACTCGGATGTCTTTCACCTGTGGATATTTTCATTTCGAAGCATCGCCTTAGCATATTACTATCGGGACAATGCAGTGGGTGGTCCGGAACGTACTCGTGTGGAAACATTAAACATAAACCTGTCTTACATTTTACCACAGCGAAAGCTAAATAAATAATAAAATCCATTCTGTCAAGGTTGTCCAGGTTTGTGGCCTGATAACATTTGCCCCAAAGGCGTACAATCATTTGCACACACACACAGATATATGTATATATTGTTTCTATTCACGTACTACAGCTGTCGACCGCCTGACGACCGAGTCAAAGCATGAATCTGACAGTAGTGGTCGGACACTATGCACCAGAAATTTAATTCATAACTTAATAAAGCTCTGCCATTCTATATGGAATGGATCACTTTTTTCTTTTCGGGGGTGCATCCATGGCAGATATCATTTTAAGATCTGCTTATATATATATATATATATAAAATAATGGACTCTCCCGTCGGTTTCGACGTATGAGGATCTACCAGCTTATTGATTCGGTTATGAAATTTTGTGCGCTAATCTTAAGTGGCATTTAAGACCCGCTAGTGATTTACAAAGGAGGCCACATATGGAGCAAGTGTGAGGATTGTGAGATGAGATCATTTTTAGATTGGTTGACCTTTTAGATCTTGCTCTCGCTTCTTGAAGATGATTCAGACATATTTATGTGTGTGTGTGCGTTCGTGTTTTGTCAACAACCTTTCTTTTAAAATTTTTCCACTAAATATGGCAGACAAGAAAGATTTAATTAATTTTTTATTTAGTTTTTCCAGCGTCCTTACGTTTTCCGTTTTGTAGGAGTAAGGGAGAACAGACATTTTTCAAAAGTTACATTGTCTCAAGCGCATTCGGCCACTTATTTAACCATTTTCAAGGATTTTTTTTTTGGGGGGGGGTACTTGCTAATGTTTTGACTTTTTAAGTTGTATTTTATTTTTGTGTTGTTTTTATTTTATCTTGTATTTTTTTATTTTGATTGTATTATATATATATATATATATATATATATATATATATATATATATATATATATATATATATATATATATACATAATTATTAAATGTTCAAAATAATTACACCTTTGAATATATATATATATATATATATATATATCGAAATTAAAAGCGAATGACTTGTAAAATAGCTAGTAAGAATGTAAATATATGCACTATATACAACGTAGATAATGTAACATATTTTAGATGAAACCAATTCTTTAAACCAAGAAACAATCCCCTCAAATAAATTAAAATAAACACAAAATGTAAATAAATAAAGCAAAAGAAAAACAAATTAACAAACTACAAATGTACAAATAAACACGAGTAGATTTAATAATAATAATCAACCACAAATAAGTAATTAAGTAATCAATAATAAATAATGATTAAAAAGTTTTAATATAATTATGAAATAGCTATAAGTCATTTACTAATTTATAGACTTTATTTTTATAGAGTATTTTCTTTAAAAAATTCCACTGACTTTAAACATACATTAACTTCTAAGTTTTATTAATAAGTTTATATATATATATATATATATATATATATATATATATATATATATATATATATATATATAAATCCCCGTCGTGTTTTTTCACGTATGAGGGCCTATCACCTTTGTTCTTAGAATCAAAAATGCAGACTAATTGCACATATGGTTTCATTTGGTGAAGGTTTGTGCAGAATATTTTGGAAGAGTCGAATACAAGGAATACAGATAGACGTTCCCCAAACGATTCTGTGCAGGTTTTTAATTGAAAGTTGTTCTTCTCCTCCACCCAAGGCCCCAATCTGCTCTGTTAAGATGATAGGGGGTATTTGCACGTAAGTGAAATGTAAGTAAATGTTCATTTAAGTGAATGTAATGGATTCGACTGGAATTCGAACTCCGCTCCCCCGATCCAGGCCGTTATCCATTATTCCACCGTTATATATATATATATATATATATGTGTGTGCGTGTGTATGAGGACAAGCATAAAAGTATGCAATCCTTTCCACTTCTGAAAACCTGGCTAAATATAAAGATCTCATTTATTATTATTTTTTTTTTTTGTATTTGAACCTTTGAAGCAATGTTGGTGTCCTCTTCATAAATCGCCATGTGAAATTCCGCTTATGATGCCTGTTTTTATCAGAAATATTTACAATAACGTATTTGATCATCTGATAATGTGTTATGGGTTTTAGGACATTTGCGTCCCAGACATTTGCGTCCCGGACATTTGCGTCCCGGACATTTGCGTCCCGGAAATTTGCGTCCCAGAAATTTGCGTACCGGACATTTGCGTTCCAGACATTTGCGTTCCGGACATTTGTGTCCCGGACATTTGCGTCCTGAACATTTGCGTCCTGGGCATTTGCGTACCGGACATTTGTGTCCGGAGATTTGCATTCCTGGATATTTGCGTCCTGGTTATTTGCGTACCGGACATTTGTGTCCCGGACATTTGCGTCCTGGACATTGCGTCCCGGACATTTGCGTACCGGACATTTGCGTTCCGGACATTTGCGTCCCGGAATTTTGCGCACCGGACATTTGCGTCCCAGACGTTTGCGTCCCGGACATTTGCGTCCCAGACATTTGCGTCCTAGACATTTGCGTCCTGAACATTTGCGTCCCAGACATTTGAGTTCCGGACATTTGCGTCCTGAACATTTGAGTACCGGACATTTGCGTCCCAGACATTTGCGTTCCGGACATTTGTGTCCCGGACATTTGCGTCCTGGACATTTGCGTCCTGGGCATTTGCGTACCGGACATTTGCGTTACAGACATTTGCGTACCGGACATTTGCGTGCCAGACAAATGCGTCCCTGGATAATTGCGTACCTCTGATAATTTTTTAAGCTTCTAAATGCAATTACCATAAATTTTGAAAAAAGCACAGGTAGTAATCAGATTAAAAAAAAAAAAAAGGAATAAAAAGAATAAAATAAAAAAAATTAAAAGTTTATTTTTGTTTAAAATGCAATGACAGATTAACACTGTGTTGCAAGATCGCTCTACACATCACCAGTCTGATTTTGTTTCATTGGCGTTTTTCATATGATAGTGGCAGCTGTAATTTTCATTTTTCCACCAATGTTTGATTTTTGGAACTTAACCAAGGGTTCCAAATTACAATATAATCTATAAAATCCAGAGTCTATTAAATGTTTGTGGTACGCACTGCTGGAGTGAACTAAATCTGCTAGCTTATTTTTCTCTTGCTTTAAAAAAGACATTTTTCTCTCTTTTTTTATTTATGGTTAACTACATTTCAGCTTGTTTAGAGCAATTAAAGGTATTGGTGTGCAAATTTCTATATTAAACAACTCTTTAAAAAAAATGGTAACTTCAAAAAAATTATCAGAGGTACGCAATTATCCATGGACGTAATTATCCAGGTACGCAAATATCCAGGGACGCAACTGTCCGTCCACTTTTGCCATGCCATCGTGGATTCGTCTTGTTCTCTTTCTTAATTCACACTCTTTTGGTCCTGTCACTAGATCTAACCAACGCAATTATCCACTGTACCACGTGTCACATGGCACAGGGGATAACAAGTGTGAGTTCAATACCCAGTTAAGGCAGTAGAGAACTTGAAGTGGGGAGTTTTAACTGATAACTGACATCCATTAGATATGACACGTGGAATAAGAAAAATTTACGCCAGTGAGCGAAATAAAGGGTTCAGTTCGACATTCCAACCACCTGAAGAAGGCTGGAGCGTACAGCGGACGAAACTTTGTAGTAAATATGGCGACAAAGATGAGGAAAATAGTTGGAATAATGTAAATAGTGTACATAATGCCTCATCTCAGAAATATAGACAGATACTTAAATGCCGAAACGTTGTAATAAATATGGCGACAAAGATGAGGACAATAGTTCGAATAATGTAAATAGTGTACATAATACCTCATCTCGGAAATATAAACAGATACTAAAAGGCCGAAACGTTGTAATAAATATGGCGACAAAGATGAGGACAATAGTCCGAATAATGTAAATAGTGTACATATTACCTCATCTCATAAAAATATAGACATATACTAAAAGGCCGAAACGTTGTAATAAATATGGCGACAAAGATGAGGACAATAGTCCGAATAATGTAAATAGTGTACATAATACCTCATCTCGGAAATATAAACAGATACTAAAAGGCCGAAACGTTGTAATAAATATGGCGACAAAGATGAGGACAATAGTTCGAATAATGTAAATAGTGTACATAATACCTCATCTCAGAAATATAGACAGATACTGAAGGGCCAAAACGTTGTAACAAATATAGCGACAAAGATGAGGACAATAGTTCGAATAATGTAAATAGTGTACATAATACCTCATCTCAGAAATATAGACAGATACTGAAGGGCCAAAACGTTGTAACAAATATGACGACAAAGATGAGGACAATAGTTTGAATAATGTAAATAGTGTACATAATACCTCATCTCAGAAATATAGACAGATACTGAAGGGCCAAAACGTTGTAATAAATATGACGACAAAGATGAGGACAATAGTTTGAATAATGTAAATAGTGTACATAATACCTCATCTCAGAAATATAGACAGATACTGAAGGGCCAAAACGTTGTAACAAATATGACGACAAAGATGAGGACAATAGTTTGAATAATGTAAATAGTGTACATAATACCTCATCTCCGAAATATAGACAGAAACAGCAAAACGAGTGACTAGTTAGCAGGGAAAGTCATTTAAGCCCCCGTAATAGCCTACCAAATACACAACACTCGTGAGGTATTTTAGATTCTGATAGTCAACTGACAATATCTCCCCATTGTTTTTCTTACTAGAATTTGAGTGAAAAGAAAGTATATGCTTACTGAATTTATTTAATAAATTCAATACAGTACATTTTAAAGTACGATTTTCGTGGTCGCCTTGTACGGCGAATGTAACTCCAAACGTATATTTTTATTTGAAAATTTATAGGTCTTATAAAACCAGTCGCCTTGTATGCCATCATATACGGCAATTGAAATCATTGACAAGATAAGGTCGAATGATTTTAAGAATGTTACAAGAAGATAAAACTAAAAAGGTTAACAAGCAAGGAAAAATTGAATTGACATGTAATTAATTATTTAAGAAGCTGGTATAAGGAATATAAAAAAAAATACAGAATATTAAGAATACTGCGTAACGAAAAAATAAATTACCAACTTTGAGTAAACATTGCAAAAAGAATTATATAAGTTGGGCGAGTTCTCGACAGTAATTTTTTATTGATGAAAATAGAGATAGATTATTGGACCTGATGACACGATTGGACACCAGGGCCTTTCATAGAAAAAGTCAAGCAACACGACTTAAATAACAATGTACGTTGTTTCTTTTGTTTAGCGGTATTACAATATCTACAGGTAATTTAATGCCGAAATCTAAATATTTTATACGAAATTTTATGGCTTCAACTACACATATTTTGTACACCATTTAATAATTTCAGTATAAATATGTTTTTTATATATATATATATATATATATATATATATATATATATATATATATATATATATATATATATATATATATATATATATATATATATATATACATATATATATATATATATATATATATATATATATATATATATATATATATATACATATATATATATATATATATATATATATATATACATATATATATATATATATATATATATATATATACATATATATATATATATATACATATATATATATATATATATATATATATATATATATATATATATATATATATATATATATATATACATACAGAGAGAGATTGTAGATCATAAAATGCATTTTAGTATATTTTTTTTATGTTGTATTGATTGTCATTTTTCTATAAAAATATATTGTTGGTCATTGTACTATAAAATTTATTGCTGGTCATTTTGTTATAAAGTTTTGTTGGTTATTTTTCTATAAAAAATGTATTATTGATAATAATTTTTTTAATAAAAATGTATTGCTGGTATTGTTACTATAAAAAAAAAAAACTTTTGATTTTTGATTGGGACCCTAACATGTGCTACCACCCCTAGGTCAGGTTAGACGTGGGACCAACAGAAATTAAGAGGTCGTTCCACGCACCTCAAAATCTCCAATCACCCGATCAGAGGCCTTCCTGCCGGGTGTAGTTTATTTTCATATCCAGGATTAATATTAGATATGGGATAAGCACTGCTTTGAGAGAATATTTTTGGCAATAAATATTGTTTCGTAGCTGGTGAACGTGTCAAAATAAATGCAAATATGTTTTGTAAGTTCCTCGCGGGAATCTTTGAGTGGTGCAAATCACAACAAAGAAGCTAAAATAGTATATTCACGACCCTCCTTCTTCATTATAGTTTGACGACCAGTCAGAAAGTGTATATTAATACGAGACAATACTTCTTTATATTCTGGAAATCTGATTATTCCTAATGTTGAGATGTTGTGAGTTTCCCGCGTGTCGGTGTATGAATCAAGACAAACACAGTTGTAGAGGAAAATACTGGTATATTCATAAAAGCAATTAACAATAGAGTGATTAGTAGAACGAAGGTTGGTTAGTACGAAAACAATATCCAAAGTCTATAGTCCAACGGTATGTACCGGGTAAGCTTATCTAGACTGCTGTCGCTCTGTCTCTCGCTCTCTCCCTCGTCCTCTCTCTAGAGCTGACTTATATAAGAGGGACCAGTCCATTTCTAGTTAGAAGGTGGGTGCGCCCCAACACCTAACCTTACCAAAAAAAGTTTCAAAGATACTAAATTAATGGAATGGTTTTTCATCTGTCCAGATAGAAATCCAAAAGAAGACTTATGGCAAATCATTAAAAGAGTTGTACCCGGTGTAACAGCAAAATTTTCCAATTCCTGTAACAGCAAAATTGTCCAATTGTTAGATTAAGCACTGAAACGTTGTATCTTACAAATGATTAAAGATATATTACTGGAATTCTCCGTGGTTTTTATGACATTATTGAACTCTACTTTGAGCAATATGAATGTATAATTAATCTCTCTGCTTAATAGAAGTATCGAGATGAATTGGATCATAAACGAAAATGGCGTGTTCATCGTTAATTAATCATAGCTAAGGATCGGATGCTTATGAAGTTTTGAAATAAAAGTTCAAATATATATATATATATATATATATATATATATATATATATATATTATTCAAGGATCATTTTCCAACTTATTCAAGATGATCTTCGCCCTCTCTAACCTTCTAACTTTTCTGTCCTGGAGTAACAAGTTGCCTTACAGTTTTCAGGTACGATTTCATTTTCAAATCTTTTGTCACTGCTCTTTGGGCTGTCATATCTGAAACTCCTCTATCACATGCCAAACATCTTATGAATTGAGTTAGATCTTTTCTAACTGATCTCTTTAGTTCTAAGTTGAAATGATGATCCGTCATCCTGTTGTGACCTCCTGATCCAGTTTTCCTCTTGACTTTTTCCTATTTTTAAATCGATTCACCGTTTTCATGATGGTTCTTGAATGAACTTTGTAGATGGGAGCCAGAGTATGAATGTTGGTGCCATTACTGAAGGCCTGAATGATATTTTGCTCTCGCCATTGCTCAGTTGGGAAGACATAGTGTGTGTGACACAAAACGATTTTAACCTGTTCTCTTTCTAGCAGAATAATTCAAAGGTTTTTTTCAGCGATTCTTATAACAAATGGTATCAAGATGACGAAAATTTTTATCTGAAAACCTGGAAATAAGTTTAATGGGGTTTTTTTATATATTAAACATATTGTGGGTGGGGATAAT